GAGTCGAACCTAAGACTTTCAGGTCCCAAGCCGGCTGCTCTACCACTACACCACAGCCGCCCCGTTACTGCTATGCTGTATCTAGTTGTAATTATTTCTATCATGTTTTTTCTTTGTAATCCAGAGGAAGGTGCACCTGGACCAGACCTGGACCAGTTCTTCTGTGTTTACCTGTGTCTCTTTCCTGTCCCTCAACCCAGCYRGTCRAGGCAGATRGCCACCTGTCCTGAGCCTGGTTCTGCTGGAGGTTTCTTCCTGATTAGCAGGGAGTTTTTCCTCTCTGTTTGCTCAGGATGGGAGACTGTGATGAAGTGATTCAACACAATCTGCTGGTTTCWTCTTTAGATTGTTCTTTTTATGTACAGTGCCCTGAGATAACGTATGTTGTGACTTGGCGCTATATAAATAAACTGAGCTTGAACTTGATTAACTCTGTTGTTCATAGAGGGTCATGTGCCCCATCACCTGACTTTTATTGGTTTGAATGCTGTGGTTATTTGGTGTTTTGTTATGTGTATGTAGTGAGTGCAAGAGGGGTTCAACGTCCCCTTGTTTTTGTCTCTCTGTCCCTATTTGTGTTGGTATTGTTGGGGCCCTGATTCACACATTTTGCTCACAGGGGGCTGAGTCATACTTGCAATAACAGCATTGTAGGAGGAAAGTAAAGAAGAACCCATCCAGAGGACCCACTTATTTTTTCTTTTAGATTTTTTCTACCTGGATTACTGAGATGCATCAGGACATGCAATTGTATTAATAATTTAATACTATAAATTATCAGCATGATCCCACAAGCTGTGTTAGAGCTTGAGGAATAAGTTGAGGATGACTCTCAGCTACCACCAGATCAAGTTTTATCTGTACAACTAAAATTGACAGAGCTGTAGCCATTTTTAGCTGAGGCAGCCAACTTGAACTGGGATGACTCCAAAAGCAATGATAACTTTAGACTTTAATTAAAATGAATTGGGTGGTTTATGAAATGTTTTGCTTACAGACAGGCAGACAGTTCAGTTTCAAACAAACATTTTCCACACATGTAGTGCTGTTGAGGAGCTACTACTAGACCAAATTTTGGGTCAATATCTGTAAATTTGACAAATCTTTACCCATTTTGGAGTTTTCTAAGCTCGTTTTGCTGTGGCAGCCATCTTGAAYTAAATTACTCCAAAATGTGATGAGATGTAGATATACATCTGATGATTACATACTTTGTGAGGATTTCATTAAAATCCACCGTCAATGTAATATTTTTGTCAATGCACATGAAATTACAGTATAAGGGTCAATTAATTGAGTCAGTTAGTGGTTTAAGTCGGGAYGATGCAAAGTTATAACCAAAGCAAATGTAAGCACAATATCCGAAAAAACTGATAGATTGTAACAATTTTCAAGTTGGCTGGGGTTGGTTCCAAAACTTAATAATTTCGAGATGTGCATCCAATAAATATTTCCTGGACGTTTCATTAAAATCTGTCCAACGGCACGTCAAATATTATGCTAACAGACATAAAGACAAACCCAAGATGCAGTGTTGTATAAAGTACCACAAAGTGATACTTGAGTAAAAGTACAAGTATCTTACCAAAAAATTACTTTGGTAAAAGTTAAAGTCTCCTTAAGGAATATTACTTGCGTAAAAGTCCTAAAGTATCAGATTTTTTTGTACTTAAGTATTAAAAGTACAAATATTGATTTAAAATGAGCAGTTAAATTTTCTGTAAGGACATTTATTAGGAGGTGACCTCCACGAAAATGTAGAAATGACTATATTGTATTAAAATAATTAATGTTAAATTTAGGATGAACTAGTGCAGCTGTTTCAGTTTGTATAAATAAATCAAGGCTGCACAAAGCTTTTCACCAAAATGAAAATCTATCTGAGGGCTGCAGCCAAATGTATTAATATAATTCATGAAATACAAATACTTCTTACAGTACTTTTATTTTAATGATTATGTCCTGCTGCCGTGTGACATGATTGTTTGTGTACAAACTAATACAGTATCAGAATTTTATATATTTATACTTCTCATTCAACCAGTTAAATTCACTTTAAGAGGTACAGTTTATATGGATAGTTTTTATTTTTACAATAACAAGCTGGAATGAAAACAAGCAGAAATGAATAAAAGTAACAACTTTATACTTCTTGCCTCTTTTAAAAATGTAAGAAGTAAAAAGTTGGCTGAAAAATAATTACAAAAATTCTACTTAAGTACAGTAACGAAGTATTTGTACTTAGTTACTTTACAACTCTGCTAAGATGGAACATGAATAGACGCTGAGCTCGTCTCGAGCCCTCCACCTGCCCGCGCGCCAGCGGCACGTGCCAAGTTTAAACCCACGCCGCGTTCACCGCGCGGCGGGCACCTGCACGCGGCCACCTGCACGCGGCCACCTGCACGCGGCCCGCTCCGCGCAGCTCAAACTTCCAGGGTGAGAAATCAAATGAATAATCTTCTAAATTAAAACACAAAGCGGTAATAAAGGTGCGCGAGCTTGCTGCAAGCAGAGGCGGCGCGCGCCGCTCCGCTCCGGCCGCTATAATCGTACGTTTTGTGCAGGAAGCGCACCTGCACGTGACGGTGGGTGAAAACGCAGATCCATCCCAGCGACAAATGTCGCGCACGATACTTCTGTAACCATAAGGTTTCATATATTACAAGCCGAGCGCGTGCTTGTGTCGTGCTGTTTTAAACACTGATCATTAATTTAGCCGCACGCGCCGAGCCGCAGCTCCATCCGGGACGTGCTGGAAATGAGAAGTGTCCCACCTGTCTGCCCTGCGGTGGTCTCACCGGTCTGTCAGCGGACGGAGCTCTCGGCTCCTCCAGCACCGTGATGTTCCCGTGGCGCGTCCTGCGCAGCCTGCCCCTCTCCACCTCCCTCTCCATGACCACCCTGACTTTCCCTCGGGTCAGTTTCTCCTCGGACAGCCGCTCCTGGCTGCTCAGGAAGCCCAGGATCTCCTTCAAGCCCAGCGGCTTCATCRTGTGGCCTCTGGCGGCGGGGGAGCCCCCCCTGACGCTCAGCTCGGAGTTGGCGCGGCCGCTTCCTGCCGCCAGCCGAAGTTTGGGCTTGTTTTGCGCCTGGTGATGAGKGGGTCTGCCGGCTCCCCCTGAGGAACTTTGCTTCAGGCTGTCAGCTCCGGAAGAGTCGGGCTTCTTTCCTCCGCCCGCCGCACCGGCTCTGCTCGCTGCTGCCGGGCTTTGTGCGCCTGTTCCGCAGCTGGGCGGCRGGCAGAGCCCCGCTGCCTGCCGTCCTGATCCCTCCTCACTCGGTGCACTTGCTTTCTCCTCCTTACAGCCGCTCGTAGTTGCGCCACAACCGAGGAGCCCGGTTCCGCTGTCCGGACCGGAGGCAGCAGGCTTCAGGCTCTTGCAGGGGCTGCAGGCTGATGTCGGACTGCTCGGATCTGGGTTGGGCTCAGAGTCGTCCTCGCCCTCCTCCTGGTCGCTGAGGCTGTGCGCGCTGTCGCCGTTGTTGTTCGGATGTTCGCTCCGCTCGTTCGGCGCGTCGGCGCCGCCTGCGGCCGTCATCAGCTCGCTCCTCTTCCTGCTCTTCCTCTGCACCTTGGCCGCGTTCCGGTACGAGATGGACCCTTTGTAGCTAACTTTGAGCACCGTCTGCTCCTGGATGAGTTTCTCCAGCTCCGTCCTGGTTCGGTCCGGGTCTGARCCATGTCGCCTCCGGACCATTCGACAAATCCTTTCCAGGTCCGGACGGGCTTTCCTCGAACGGAGAGAGTCGATAGTTTCCAGAATCCACTCCCGGTACTTGTTGGGCTCGGACATCTTCTCCTGTGGGTGCGGACGGGGTTCGGCCCGAGTGCGTCTCCTCCTCCTCCTCCTCCTCCTCCTCCTTGTTGTTTCACAAGTGACGCTGCTGTGAAGCTGCGAGCCGAAGTGCGGCTGGAGAAGGAGGACGGAAGCCCGGCTGGAAGGCTCGCGTCCGTTGTTGGCCACATTGTGCGCTTAAGGTGGACCGAAGATGGCGCCTGGGTCTCCCGCACAGACGCAAACCGGATTTAAGGTGGAATTGTGTCGCTTCCAAAGCTGCTCTCTTTGTTCGCCGAACCGAGCCACATATAAAGCAGAAGCTTGGAGCTAAACACAAAAGAAACTGTTTTCTCAGGGTAGGAAAGGTGGGGCGTGAGGGTCCAGCAGGGCGCCAGAATGTGTTGTAGGAAAGATTTAATTGTGGGTTTAAACAATAGGCCTACATCCAGATTATTTGTTTATGACTATAAATTACATAATTTACAATAAAAAGTGATTACAATTTCACTGTTTCCTCAAGAGATTTCATTAGACTCATTATTTATTTATTTTCTAAAGAGTTGTGCTCACTCACAGACATAATTTATATTATCTTACATCCTAGGACTTTGTATTGACTTGCAATTATTATTGCAGACACTTTGAATGTGATGTAATATGGCCCGTGTCACTGTAGTGACAAAAGACGTGTGACGTCCGGCATACAGCCATTCCAAAGGCCAACATATAGGACTTCTCACTCACAATACAAGGGATGGATGACCATGGATGACCATGGATGACCATGGAAGACCATGGATGACCACGGATGACCACGGATGACCATGGATGACCATGGATGGCCACGGATGACCATGGATGACCATGGATGACCATGGAAGACCATGGATGACCACGGATGACCATGGATGACCACGGATGACCATGGATGACCATGGATGACCATGGATGACCACGGATGACCATGGAAGACCATGGATGACCACGGATGACCATGGATGACCATGGATGACCATGGAAGACCACAGATGACCATGGATGACCACGGATGACCATGGATGACCATGGAAGACCACAGATGACCATGGATGACCACGGATGACCATGGAAGACCACAGATGACCATGGATGACCACAGATGACCACGGATGACCATGGATGACCAGGGATGACCAAAGGGCTGAAAAATGCTTGAAAAAAAGAACTACTTTTACTCGTGCTTCTTGAGACTAAGAACAAAARAATCAGAAGAGCGATACAAGAAATATAAAAACAAGTTGGTTTGGATTATACGGAAGCACAAGAAGGAGAGGAGTACTATAGTAAGTTGTTAGACAAAAGTAATGGTAATACAAGAGCAACATGGCAAATAATGAATAGTGTTTTGAAAAATCATGAAGTAAAATCAGGTACTCCACAGTATTTTGTAAAAGATGGCATTGAAATTCATAATCAAAATGAAATTGCAAATGGATTCAATCATTATTTTGTGAATGTTGGCCCAAGTCTTGCATCTAAAATACCAAAATAGAAATGTTAACCACACTGTTACAGATTGTGTTGATACTTTATTTTTATGAAACTGACAAAGAAGAAATAACGAGTATTGTTAAAAATCTTGCAGACAAGAGATCAAAAGACTGGGTTGACATGGACATGATGTTTGTAAAAGACATAATGAATTATGTGATTGAACCGTTTACATCCATCTGTAATTTATCCTTTTCAACTGGTATATTTCCAAACAACATGAAAATAGCAAAGGTAATTCCTCTTTTTAAAAATGGTGAAAAACTCGTGTTTAACAACTAACTTTTACCGCAATTTTCAAAGATTTTAAAGAAATTATTTGTGATAAGATTGGACAAACTCATTGATAAACAGAATATATTAAGTAGCAGTCAGTATGCACTGAAAAAAAGGATTTTAGGGTTTAGTAACATTTATTTAATTATTCTTTTAAATTTTGCAAAAAATATTAAAAAATCTCTAAACTACTAGAATTTACTAAATAAACAATACATATTATATTATATATCA